CCAGCCTTCTGGTTAGCAGTCAAGTGCTTTAGGCACTACGCTACCAGAGCTCCATGCTATGTCTTGTTTCCATTTTATAGATGAGATAGCTCAGAGAGGTTAAGCAGTTTGTCCAAGGTAACATGTTAGGCATGGGACCAGGATTGAATTCAGGTTTGTATCTGTGCTGTTGATCACTATGCTATAATGCCTCTCGCCCTGCCCCCAAGGAGTTACAGTCTAGAAGGGGTACAAACTGTGTGCTTGCTCAATCACCTATGTTCAAAGGTGGAATGTGGTGGGCACCACAAGAGAAGTGTATACACAGTGCTGAGCTTTTGGGAGAGGCCATAAGCTGGCCCTAGTGTTTTTTATGCTGTGTTTCGTGTAGCTCTCCCAACGTTCCTTTTACTGTCTCTGTTTCGTTGCTATAGAAACAGGCAGGAAGGTCAGGTCAATTGTCTAGATAGCTTTCGAATAGTAAAGCTGTGATTTGGAGCGGATTCCAGATCTTCATCTCCTTTCTGTCTCATTCTAGATGGCCTTTCTTAGCCACTGGAAAGCCACATGCGACCCCCCAGGTTGATAGAAATTAAGCTTTTGTTTTTCTGCTTTGATTTCCTAAAATTCCTTCTCATGGGTTTGAGAGTCCTGCAGTGTCTGGACGGACACAGCAGCAGGTCTGCAGTCCATAGCAACTTTGGCTGTGAGCCTGTCTGATAATTCCAACTAGAAAGGGTTGGGCCTGCCCAGCCCTCAGTGCAGAGAAAGCTACAGAAGTCTCCCAATGGCGCGTGCTGGCATTTCCAGAAGACTCTTTTTCCTGATTCCTTTTGCTCAGAGATGAAATGATTGCCCCACAGAGACCTGGATTACAGCAGGAAGCCATCTCTTTTTTGGGGGGTGGGGTAGTGCAGCACCAGTGTGGACCATTTACCCTGCGAGACCCATATGCCTTCTCTTACGGGAATGTGAATCCCAGTGTGCTGAGAAAATGACAGTGGGAACAGTTACTTTCCAGTGATAACCAGGCAAGTGTGTCCTGTGCCTCATGGCCCTTATCAGGCAGCAAGTAGAACTGACTCCCTCCAGGAAGGGGGGCCCTAGGAGTCGAGAGAATTTGTCTCAGATAATCAAGTCATACAGCTGAAAGGAGTAGGAGGAGGACCCAGTCCATTAGCAGGCTGACTTTTGGCCAATCTGTAATATTTCTTCTACTCCTGATCCCAGACAGGGGAGAAGGAAAGGACCCAGAGCCAGGACCTAACTGTGCTTGGTACATAGTAGGAGGTCACAGTCTTGCACCAGCCCTGTCAATGATGGCTCCTCTCCCCCCATTTTACATCGAAGGAAACTAGGATTTGGATTAAGTGATTCGCCCAGTTTGACTAGTAAGTAAATCAGTGTCAGAGTCTAGGTTCTGTGGATCCATGTTCTGTCCAGTAGATGAGTTTGTCACGTGTATAAATTTGGTCTCTGACAAGGGGAGTACTCATGATGCTCGCCCACACCTGTGAGCACTCTCTGTGCAAAGCACTATTCTGAGTGCCTTCCTTCTGCTAGCTCAGTTCTCACACCACTCTTGACATAAACTCTGTTATTCCCATTCGCCAGATGAGGAAATCATGGCACAGAGTTCGTAAACTATTAATGGCAGAACGAGCACCCAGGCTTTGTGACCCCAGGGCCTGCCCCTCTTCGGGCTCTGCAGCTTCCTGAGTATTGGAAAGACTTGTCAAAGCTATTTTGCCATCAGTAGCTGTCCACCCTGCTAATTATAGTGAGTTGGGTGCAGGAAGGAAGGTCCCCGGCTCTGCTCACACAGCCAGCGTTTGTGGGTAAGGGCAGGAGTCCGTCCGCCTGTTTCCCCCGGGATGAAAGAATGCTAAATATTTGCTAAACACTCACATGAAACCAGGGCTCTATTCCTGGCTTTTAAGAGTTTTAGCAAATTGCTTTGCTTTCCTCAGTTCCCTAACCACGTAATATGAAAATCCCCCTCAAGGTGAAAGCAAACAAACACCTATGATGGAGCTTGTAGAGGGCTTTGAATGGACAGATCTGGACGAAACAGGAGTGGCAAAGGAATCCAGCGGAAAAGGCAGAGAGCGATGAGGTGAGGGAGAGAAGATGGAATTCTGTAAACAAGCGTTTCCTAGCTGCCTACAGTGTGCTAGGCACTACTAGCTCTGTAGGGAAAACAAGCAGAACAGGACTCAGGCCCTAAGAAGTGTATCCCAGGGATATTTATTAACTGGGCTTGGGGATAGATTTCAGGGAAGTTAGAAGCATGGAGTTTGGAGCCATTTTAAAAGGGAAAAGATGATCCATTTGGATCTTGACAGAAAGAACAGAGTAACGCTGGCAGGTTACCTAAGTAATTTTACATTTCCAGAGTTAAAGTTAAATGATTTTATGAAAATGTGACTGGTAAGTGGTAGGAACGGGAGAAAAATGTTGATTTTGTGCCATTTGTTGAGAGGAAGTTCATTCCAGCAGTTGAATTTTGGCCAAAAAAAAAAAAAGCCAGGAGAAATACAAAAGCAGGGTGGAGTTTAAATACAGTTGTGGATATGAGATGACTCATTTGGAATAGAAATGAATAGGAACTTAGAAAGAAGCTGATGGACTTGGCAGCAATAAAGAGATAAGAAAGAGAACAGTCAGATGTGACAAAGGGTTTGAAGAGAATTGTCACATCTGCACTGATAGCAAAAAGGTTACTGGTTTGAAAGGGATCAGTTTTCAGCATGTGAAATTGAGGAAGAGACCAGAGAATCAGAACAGGTGTTACCAGCACGTATGTGTATACTCTGCCATCACGTCAACTCCAATTCATAGCAACCCTAAGGGGCAGAGTAGAACTGCCCCATAGGGTTTCCAAGGCTGTAATTCTGACAGAAGTGTGTCACCACATCTTTCTCTCACAGAGCAGCTACTGGGTTTGAACTGCCAACTTCTGGTTAGCAGCCAAGTGCTTAACTCCTGCACCATGTATCTGTATAGAGATATTTGATCTCATATATGTTATTCTATAAATGTCTGTCAGGGAACCCTGGTGGCACAGTGTTCCTCCTCGTTAAAAGGTCTCTGAGCAGATAGGCCGGGGGCAGTGGTAGAATTCTTGCCTTCCATGTGGAAGATCCAGGTTCTATTCCTGGCCAAAGCACCCCATGCACATCCACCACCCATATGTTAGTGGAGGCTGTGTGTTGCTACAATGTTGAATATGTTTCAGTGGAGCTTCCACACTAAGGCAGACTGGGAAGAAGGGCTTGGCAGTATGCTTCCAAAAATGAACCATGGAAACGTAGATGCACAGATCACGACTATCCAGTCTACGGTCTTGGGGGTAGTGCAAGAGCAGGCAGCATTTCATCCCATCAGGCAATGGATTGCTGTGAGTCAGGGGCTGACTTGAAGGCAGTTAACAGTACAATGGATGTAACAGATGGAGAAGCTCAGTATCTTCAGCCAAAACAAGGCCAGGAGCTGATTGTGGAACAGACTATCAACTACTCATATGCAAATTCAAGTTGAAGTTGAAGACAATTAAAGCAAGTCCACAAGAGCCAAAATAAGACCTTGATTATATCCGTCCTGAATTTAGAGACTGTCTAAAGAATAGATTTGATGCATTTGAACACAAGTGACCAAAAACCAGAGGAATTGGGATGACATCAAGAATATCATCAATGAAGAAACTAAAAGATCATTTAAAAGACAGGAAAGGACGAAAAGACCAAAGTGGATGTCAGAAGAGACTCTGAAACTTGCCTTTGAAAAGAAAGTAGCTAAAGCAAATGGAAGAAATGACAAAATAAAAGAGCTGAACAGAAGATTTCAAAGAGTAGCTCGAGAAGACAAATCCAGTTACTATAATGAAAAACCAAAAGGGAAGAGCATGCTCAGCATTTCTCAGGCTGAAAGAACTGAAGAAAAACTTCAGGCCTCAAGTTGCAATATTGAAAGATTCTGTGGGCAGAAGGCATTTGCTATCCAGAAGGCTGGAGGTTCAAACCCACCAGCCAGTCCTCAGAAGGAAAATTGGGCAATCTACTTCTGTGGAGATCCTGCCTCAGAAACCTAAGGAGGGATTTCTATGAATTGGGATCAACTCGACAGTAGTGAGTTTAGTTTGGAATTATGGGCAAAATATTGACTAATGCAGGAGACATCAAAAGAAGATGGAAGGAATACACAGAGTAACTGTACCAAAAAGAATTGGTTGGTGTTCATCCATGTCAAGAGGTGGCATATGACCAAGAACCAGGGGTATTGAAGGAAGAAATTGAAGCTGCACTGAAGGAATTGGCAAAGAACAAGGCTCCGGGAATTGACAGAATACCCATTGAGATGTTTCAACAAACAGATGCCACTTTGGAGGCACTCAGTCATCTATGCCAAGAAATTTGGAAGACAGCTACTTGGCCAACTGACTGGAAGAGATCCATATTTGCATCCATTTCAAAGAAAGGTGG